CCAAGGGTGGCATCCCCACACGCCGGGGTTCCCAGCGGGTGACAATGTCCCACGTCACCGTTGTCACACCTGGGTCCCCAGCGGGGAGGTGGCAGTGTCCGTGCAGACCGGGGTCTCTGGGGGGAGGTGGCAGTGTCCCCAAATGCCCAGGTCAATGTGGGTGACACTCCCGGACGCCTGGGCCCCTCGGGGGGGCCAAGGCCCCAGCCTCGCGGGTGACGTTCCCCGGGTGCCCGCAGGAGCGGGCGCTTCGTGGTGAGCGGCGACTCGAGCGGCTGGGTGCGCCTGTGGGACACGGCGGCGGCGCCGCTGCCCGGGACCCCCCCGCTGCTGCCCCCCCTGCTCCGCTTCCGCGCCCTGCGCGACTGCGTCAACGGCGCCAGGTGGGCGGCGCGGGGCGGGGCCCGGACGCCTGGGCCCCTTCCAGGCGGGGGACATGGACATCTGAGTCCCCGAGGGTGGGGGGTGCCCGGACGCCTGGGCCCCTTCCGGGGGGGACATGGACATCTGAGTCCCCGAGGGTGGGGGTGCCCGGACGCCTGGGCCCCTGCTTGGGGGGCACCCAAAGCCTGGGTGCTCATGGGAGGGGGGGTACCAGGACCCCCCAAGGGGGAGGGGATTGGGGGTATCAGGACACCTGAGGATTGGGGGGGGGGGAGGCTCCCGGACGCCTGGGTCCCCTTGCTGGGGGGTCCCCCGGGTGCCTGGGTCCCTGTTTTGGGGCGGTCCTGAGCACCGGGGGACTTGGAGGGGAGGAATTGGGACACTTGGGTGCCCCGTGTGTGGGAGGGGGCGCCAGGACCCTTGGGTGTCTGATTGGGGGAAGGTTCTTGGACACCTGGGCCCCTTGGGAAGGGAGGCCAGACGCCGGGGTCCCGGGAATGGGGGTGCGCTGATGCCGGACGCCGGGGCCCGCAGCCTGCACCCCAGCCTGCCGCTGCTGGCCACGGCGTCGGGGCAGCGGCTCTTCCCGGAGCCCTGGGCCAGCGCCGAGGAGCCCGACGAGGAGGAGGAGGAGGCCGAGGGGCCGCCCGCGCGCGGCCACAACTGCCTACAGCTCTGGAGCTGGGCGGGCGCTGCCGTGGGCTAGCCGGCTGTGCGCCGACTGTGTGCCGGCTGTGCGCCCGGTGCGTGCCGGCCGTGTGCCCGGTGTGCGGCGGGTGTGTCCACCAGCTGTGTGCCCGCTGTGTGCCGACTGTGCGCCCAGTGTGCAGCCGGTGTGCGCCGACTGTGCACCTGGTGTGCACCCAGTGTGCGGGAGGCGGCTGTGCAAGAGACACGTGGTGCAAACGGGGTTGTTGGGGGGGTGGGTGAGGCTGTGCGTGTTGGGGTGTTGTGCGGGGGTTGCCCGCTGCCATTAAAGTGTTTGTACTGAACAACGTCTCCTTTGAGTGTCTGTCACCACCGAATGAGGGGGGTAGCTATTCCTGTAGCAACACTGCAGCCACCCTCGGCTACACCTGCAGACACCTTGGCTTGGTTCTGGCTACACCTGCACACCATGTTGCACAGCAACACCCTGACTCCACCTGGCCTGGCACCTCTCACTAGGCCCCAGGCAACACCCCAACGAGCTAGAGCTACACCCGCACTGCCCCCAACACCCGCACTGACTACACCCGTACTGCCCCCCAACACCTGCACTGACCGGCCAGCTACACCCCCAGCATCCACCCAGCTACACCTGCACTGGTGCCCTGCTTACCCACGGTTACACCCGCTCTGAAAACCCTGCTACACCCCAACAACACCCCCACAACACCCCCCGACTGCTGTCTTTCCCGCCCCTCTCCCCCCTCCAGCCAATCAGGCGCCTCGCTGCCGCTGATCGACAGCGCCCCCCGGCGGCCGTTGGTGGCGTTGATTGACAGCGGCACCTGGTCCGCGCCCGGTCCCGCCCCGCGCTCCGTGATTGGCCCGCCGGGCGCCTCGCGCCGCGCTCCCATTGGCCCACGGCGTCCGT